TTTATGTATGTAGCTTCAAGAATTTTTAGTTTTTGTTTATTGTTTTAAGGTTTAAGTATAGTTGTGTTATCAACGAGAATTTTCCTGAATTGTGCACGCGGCCAGGCATGTTGTTTTAAATGCCTTAAAATGTTAAAGTTATCAGACAATATGAAAGGAACTTACTTAAAATAAATAGACAAAACTTGTCTATATTATTTAATGAAACATGCATTAATATATATATATATATATATATATATATATATATATATATATATATATATAATAAAAACATGGTCATTGATCACTATCAGGTGAAATTAGTAAGAGGAGATTAATAATAGTCTCCGACTGAAAATAAACATTTTTTTAAATGTTACTATTAATTTATAGTAATATCAAAAAATCAAGAATGAAATTTTGATAATCATATACACACACACACACAAACACAGACACACACACATATTAAAATAATAGGAAAGAAAAATGAGATTTATAATCCATAAGTCTTAACATTTATTTATTTTTTAAAAAACAGCTCTCGATACAAACAATGAATTTAAATTAAGATGGAACCAACACCAAAGTTCCTTCAATAATATTAAATATCGCAACCAGACATCCTTATCTAAATATTTCTGGCATTTAAAAGAAACCAATAAAACACCAAGAGTAAAATGGAAATTAATCAAAATAACGAGAACTTGTAGATCTTTAAATGACCCATGTCCTTTGTACATATCTAAAAAATTAAATATTAAGTTTCTGAAAAATAAAAAATTATTAAATTAAAGAAATGAAATTGCGAGTTTTTGTAGACACTGCCAAATTTTTCCTTAAGTAATAGCTAATTTAAAAAAAATGAAACTAACATATTTATATTTGATGATAAATAAAATAGTTTATGAATGCATAATTAAATTCTAATATATTAATTTTAACATTACCATATATGTACTCAGTTAGTAAATAAATTAAATATAATATCTTAAGTCGGTACGAATAAAAATATAAATATTAAAATTGTGAGTAAATAATATTTGAATGCCCCTTTTGAAAAAATCCTAATTGAAATTTATAAAAATAAAAATTAAATTAAAAAATAAAAAAGCTAAATGTATTGCTATTGAAACCCAGACGATGTGTTAAAACATAGATACTACCACAAATTTCTACTTGAAAAAAAAAAGTTTGTGTCAATAGACAGATACCCTAGCTTCCACCTTGACTTGACCGACTTGATAGTTACAATACTTTAGATACATGAGTTTTCTAAATAAGTTAAATTTTAACATCCCTAAAATAAAAAAAGGTGGAATTTTACTTAACACTAACATCTCAAAATATCAAATTTGCCTGGACTTATACATTAAGTGAATCAATTACTAGAAAGTTATTATGGGAACGAAACGTTGTAGTTTAATTATTTACATTATTCGGACTATCGTCCTCATCTTTGTCGTCATATTTATTACAACGTTTCGGCCGTTGTACGCTCCGGCCTTCTTCAGGTGGTTGAAATGTCGAACTGAACCCTCAAGGACACATGGCATAGTGGATAAAGGCGTTAGTTAGATCCAGTGACAGGACCAAAAGAGTGTGAGTTCAATACCCGGTTAAGGCAGTGGAGAACTTTCAGAGGGAAATTAACGGGAGATAACTGATAACTGACAACCATTAAAAAACATGGCACGTGGAACTAGAACAGTCTACCCCAGTGAGCGGAAGAGAGGGTTCAGTTCGACATTCCAACCACCTGAAGAAGGCAGGAACGTACAACGACCGAAAAGTTTTAATAAATATGACGACAAAGATTAGATTGTTCTAGTGCCTTCAATATCTGTCCATATTTCTGAGATGAGGTATTATGATTATTTACATTATTTACATTATTCGAAATGTTACTCTTATCTTAATTGCCATATTCTCAACATTTCGGCCGTTGTACTCTCCGGTCTTCAGGTGATTGGAATTTTGAACCTAACCCTTTATTTCGTCCACCGGGGTAGATTGTTCTACTTCCAACCATTCCTTCAGTATCTGTTTATATCTCTAAGATATGTTATTATAATTACTTGCATTATTTACATTAATCGCAATATTATCCTCATCTTCCTTGTTATATTCACAACGTTTCGGCCGTTGTACACTCTGGCCTTCTTCATGAACCCTTTCTTTCGTTCACCGGGGTAAATTGTTCTAGTTTCTCATCCAGATGTCTCAGTATTAGTTATGTCGCTTTTAACTCAACTCTTCATGTTTTTAAACTGTATTCCTGGTATTAAAACCTATGTTTATACTTTCATAGTGTTTTAACCCGAGTTTGGGGTTAATTATTTACCCATAGCTGGGACCCTAACAGGGTTAGGGTGGACCTGCGAACACCAGCAATTAAAGGGTGGTTCCATGGACCTCAAAACAGCCTGATCAGTGTCCTTGCTGACGGATGCAGTTTGTCTTACCCAGGAGAGGATTTAGTTTGTCGTTATACTCAGGACCTTTTCACCTTTTATTTTATTGAGATAAGTTAAAGAGCTGCTTTCAATGTTATTCTTTCAGAAAGGCGTAATAGGCTGAAGCTCAAGTTAAACTGGAGTTAGATATGAATTGGATTTAAAAAAAAGAATTGAAGAAAATCAAGCGACCTTAATACGTTTGAAATCTTCATGATTTTATATAGAAAGAAAATAAACTTTCAATTGTGTAAATGAACTTTAAATGATTATTTTTGTGACGTACGGTGGCCGTTAATGATTAAGTATAACTCAAGACTTCAATGTTAAGATAAAACAGTATTTAATTACAACTGCAAAAAAATACTGTTCAAGAACAAAGAAATAAAAGTCAACCAAAGATAATTAACCATTTCAGTGAATATCTTGTTAGTAGCGCGGCTCGGCTTAACGTCCGGTAAATCCTAAATCAAAGCCCAAATCATCGCCACAAAATAATTCACACTAATTCCACTGAACAATCACTGCAGTCAGTAGCCTGACACCACTATTTATGCATCAGACGGAGAACATATTCATAAATCCAGAGTGTCACGCTCGAACCTCGCCGTCGGTAGTTACTCATTTTCTTCGGATATGACAATTATATAATTCGATTTTCCCAAATAGGAATCAAAAAATCTATTTTTTTCAGCACGTCTTATTTTTTTTTAAACCAGCGGCAACATGGCAGTTTGTATTTCGTTTCTTGTCCATCTATTTTTTTTTTTTACCACAGTGCCGTGAATGGTAAAACTAGCATTTTTCATGCAGAAAATACCGACCGTTTACTGATCGAACAGTTATTGTTGTTATTGTTGTAGTATATAAAATCTTTTTAGTCAAAAACTATTCAGGTAACTAGTATTCACAAGTTAAATGTTATAACTAATTAAAAATCGATGTTTATAACTAATTAAAAAATCGATATTTATAACTAATTAAAAAATCGATATTCATAACTAATTAAAAAATCAATATTTATAACTAATTAAAAAATCGATATTTATAACTAATTAAAAAATCAATGTTTATAACTAATTCAAAAATCGATATTTATAACTAAGTAAAAAATCGATATAACTAATTAAAAAATCGATATTTCTAACTAATTCAAAAATTGATGTTTATAACTAATTAAAAAATCGATATTTATAAAATATTTTTAAAAATCGATATTTATAACTAATTAAGAAATCGATATTTATAACTAATTCAAAACTCAATATTTATAACTAATTAAAAAATCAATCGTACCTTGATATTTATAACTAATTCAAAAATCAATTGTACCTTCCTATTAATCGATTTGCTTTTGGTAATGTGGAACGTTAACAGCTTGTTTATACCATTATTTTTTTTCCAGCTACACGATTTTATAGCGCCAATCTATAAGGACTTTTCTAGTTAGATGTGATTTTTTTTAAAGCATTTCACCCCAAGCGAGGCGGGAGTGCCACTAGCACGCAAGGGGTTAGAGAGGATTGAGAGCAAGATTAAAAAGGGGTGTAAGAGGAAAGGATAAAAAGAAGCCAGGGATGAAGATCAAGGCATCAGATGATGTCGATTGACATTACATCTAAATATTTGAAGATTATAATTATCGTGGAAGCAAGTAACAGGATTTTGTCGAGGACATGGTGAACAACGGGGGCACTATACAATCTGTAGCAACAATACTCAATGCAATGACGAATGGTTGATTTGTAAATTAGAAAGATGTAGTCAGGTAAGGAAAACCTTCTGGCGCGACACAGAAAATCAACTTTCCTTGTGTTAGATGAAGCTATCGATTCATTGTAATTGTTCCACCTCAGGAGAAAACGCATAGAGACGCTATCGTGGATTTGGACATCGGTAATTCTGATAGGAGGCAGGGAAGTTTCTCTATGGTGGGTAAATGAGAGCAGTTTCGTTTTGGATATATTAAATTTTGCCAGCCATTTCCTGCCCCAGTCAACCACAGATTGCTACCCATTTTTAATGATGCTGTTGAAAGTGTTTAAGTCAGATGTGATTTTTGTTACTTACTAATGCTATTCGTTTATGGTTTTTTAACGTCAATCTATAAAGTCTTTTCTCGTTGCATGTGTTACTTATTTTTGTTGTTACTGGTGAAAGTGTACAAGCGATGTGGTTTTTTGTTGTTTGGTAAAAATGTTGTAACCTCAATCTATAGGATTCGATAGAGGATCACTTGATTTAGACAATTGATACGTTTCAAACTATGCTGTTATTAAAATAGATTAAACAAGGTTTTAACCAGCAGTATTAGCATTAAGGACAGGTTATATATAACTTGGAAAGATCCAGAAAGGCAAAAGTATTCGGAAAAACAGAACAAATGGAAAACTAAAAAAATAACAGAGGCTGTGCCAAAGGATTAAGATAAGAAAACAGTGCACTCATCTGTGTTTCTTTTAAACAGTTTTTTTCAACTGACTGATGAAATAAAGACGTGTTCATGGATATTTATTGTGCATAGAGAAATGATTGTGAGAAGGAAATTGTCAATTTTTCAAGTCCTTATTTGTGTGTGTGTATATCTATCTATCTATCTATCTATCTATCTATCCCCTATCTATCTATCCTATCTATCTATCTATCTATCTATCTATCTATCTATTCATCTATCTATCCCTATCATATCTATCTATCTATCTATCTATCTCTCTACATATCTATCTATCCCTGTACATATCTATCATATCTATCTATCTATCTATCTATCTATCTATATCTATCTATCTATCTATCTATCCATATACATATCTATTCATCTATCTATCTATCTATCTATCTCTATCTATCTATCTATCTATCTATCTCTATCTATCTATCTATCCCTGTACATATTATATCTATCTATCTATCTATCTATCTATCTATCTATCTATCTATCTATCTATCCCTGTATATATCTATCCCTGTACATATCTATCTATCTATCTATCTATCTATCTATCTATCTATCTATCTATCTATGTACATATCTATCTCTGTACATATCTATCTATCTATCTATCTATCTATCTATCTATCTATCTATCTCTTTTCTTTTTTTTCTATATTTATTTCTACACTGATTTTGATTTCTGTCTTCTTTTCCCCCTTTTTTTTACGCAAATATTCTGTGAACTTCTTTGGCGAAAATGTCATCGCCTTTTTTTTCTATTTTATTTCTACTGAGTCCTCTTCTTTCCCCCTGAATTAACTTCTTTTGGCAAAAAATGTCAATAATTTCTGAGTCCTCTTCTGCTGAAGGCTCACAATAATGGAAGGCACCGACTGGAAAGAAAAGCTACATTATGGGACTGAAGCCTGACCTTTACATTCCACACAGATTTGAAAAAAAAAAAAGTTCGACAGGCAACGTTACTGCCAACAATTTGAACTGACACGCCGCTTTGCCCCACAAATCAAATTGATTTGTTTGTCCTACAAACACAGAAAGTCTCAATGAAAATCACTTCAAACCGATTTAAGTAATAAGAAATGACAAGGAAAGGAAGAAGAAAATTTAAAGTCTGACAGTTAAGACATTATTTGGATAACATTTTCGGCCGACGTGAAAAGATTATATTCAATCGATTGCTAAGTTCGCTGCTCAGTTCGTTTATTATGTCACTAGCAGTATAACCAGTCTTTGACTGGGTCTTTCATTACTGGGAATTTTTTCCGTCCAACTGGAGTAGTTTAAGTTTAAAATCAGTCCGACCGAAAATCAATATTAGTAACAACATTTGGGTGCAACTGGGGCCCATCCCCAAATGGGAGGGGGTTAACAATTTGAATGGGGGGCCCTGAAAAGGGAACTGTATAATAATAAATAATATTATTGCAATAATTTGAACTATTTATTTTTGTTAAAGTTTTTATGAAAGATATATGTCCAAGAACAGATAGTAAATTGTTAAACGTTGCTGAGAGTTATAATGGACAGGAAGTAGTGGAGAGCCATTGTCGCCAACAATTTGGACTCAAAACTGCTGAAGAATTATCTATAAAAAAAATCATCAAAATCGGATGAAAACTGTGAAAATGCACACACAACATCTGATCACACACACACACACACATTTTGAGAAACATAGACATATATGTTAGATATATAGATATATAGATATATATATGTTAGATATATATAGATATATATATATATATATAGATATATATATGTTAGATATATATAGATATATATGTTCGATATATAGATATATTTGTTAGATAATTCAATCAATCTTTCATTATTTATAAGTCAACTACACGTCCATATTTCAAATCGCATATTGTCACGCATACATACACCCTTGTGCAAATTAATTATGCAGGAAGATGTGTAGGGCCATGGCCACCTTAATTAAAACAAAATGAATAATTCCGTTATTATTTACTTTTTTCGTATTTTTCCAATGAAACATGACCCAGTACACATGTTAGTACTTCGTATGTCCATTCCATGAAGTCGTTCCTTGCAGATTGACCACAGATTCTCATTTGCATTTCAATCAGGAGAGTTTCCGGCCAGTCTATAGTACTTTGATGTGCTCACTTGTCAGCGTTGCCAGTGTGCAGCGTTTCAATTTTCGAACGTTTATTTGGAGTATCGTCCATTGCAGACAATGGCCGTAGGACAACTAATCAACAGTCGAGACAATAGAAATTGGGTGTGATAAAAGTCTGATGCAATCACAGATGACGCAATATTTTTCAAGGTCAAAGACATTTCATCATGCACCCGCCAAATAGATTTATATTATTGTAAACCACTTCAAATGACCTAATCTTAGGAAAAATAGAAATCAATAATTGTCACTCCAGTGGATCTAAAACTCACCGTATCATGAAAGAAAGGAAAATCAAGCGGTTGTTTCAATTTTCACAAGGGTGTATAAGACTACTATTCGTTCATGTTTTAAATATTGCTGCCACATCGGGTCAGGTGCTCTTGCTATATATTTAGAGATCCTACATATAATCCAAAGTATCCTTAACGTTATTGTCCCGAATTGGCAACTCGGCTTCAGTCACTTTCCCGTCGCCGTAATGTACCTTCATGCACATTTTCTATAAATACTTTCGTGGTAATATATATATATATATATATATATATATATATATATATATATATATATATATATTGGAAAATATATATATATATATATATATATATATATATATATATATATATATATATATATATATATATATAATATTATATATATATATATATATGTGTGTGTGTGTGTGTGTGTGTGTGTGTGTGTGTGTGTGTGTGTGTGTGTGTGTGTGTATAGGGTTAGGTAAATGAGATAACTAGATATTAGCGATCGTATACGAGTGTGCTGGCGTGCACACGCTGGTAAACAAATAAATAATTACTAAATTTAGCCAAGAGGTGTACACATAATAGTGCTCAATGTGATTAGATAGAGATAAGAAATATATATCAATAAATACACATACACTTACATTTGGTGTGCGACTCGAGGTTCGTTGGTTGCCCAACTCATCGGGCACGAGATATACCTTATTATTTATTTTTAAAATGTATACAGATGAACATGGGATGGACGCTGATTCATAGTTGAAAATACTTTCGACAGTGAGAGCACTGACTTGTAAAGAGACAACGGTGTCATTCTATGCAACACCAATCCACAGCAAACCGACCGGCACAGGAAATTACTATCACGGATTTACTTGACACTACTTTCGATCTATCCAGAAGAGTTTACCTGCCTTATAATAAGGAACTTTATAACCACTAATCTAGCCACCCCCAGGTATCCTTAATAACCTGCACTTATCTGCCCAACATAGACTCTCTACTAACTCCACTAATAAATACATCTTTGACAAATTCAAAACCAAATATGTCGATACCCTAAATAAAAGTAAGCACAATATTAAACTAGAATACGTTCCAAACACTAGCGCGAATATCAGTAATAAACGTAGCTATAGAAAACGCAACATATTTTGGTTCAACTCACCTTTTAATAGCAACGTCAGAACCAACATCGGCAGAACCTTCCTTAAATTAGAACACTTAAACCATAAAAAAAATCTTCAACAAGAACAACATGAAGATGTGTTACAGATGCACTAGAAACCTTGACCATTATATAGCTCAACATAATACTGTAACCGTTAATAAATACTTAAGCAAAAATAATTACATCGGTGGCTATGATGATCAAAAATGCAATTGCCGTAAAGGGACTATCTGTCCTTTGCATGGCAAATGTATATATAAAGGAGTTACTTATAATGTGAGCAGTAAACATAATGACCAAATTAAATTTTATTTCCGGTCAAATGCTAATAATTTGAAATAGAAACGTTTTTATCATCATAAAATGACCCTTAACAAAAAAAAAAAAAAAAAAAAAGAAGACAAATGCCACGGACTCTCTAAGTTTTATTGGGGTACCAAAACAGATGACTACACATCCGCAGTCAATTGGGAATTGACAGGTGAGGGACAGGTGCAATCTATGTTTACACGAAAAATTATTCATCCTAAAAAATATTAATAATCCAATTCTACTAAATAAACAGAATGAAAATTGTTTCTCTAAAATTATTGTAATCATAGATAACCCACTTTCCGCTTAAATTTAATTTCAAATTTTAGTTTGCCGCTCATTTTTATTTCGGGTCATACACCGATTATCTCCCTTTAACCAATCAAACGCCTTTTGCGAACAGGGTCCAGCGTTCAAATTTTAAATTTGAAGCGTACATCAATTTCCCTTTATTTCCTCCTTTTTTTCTATTATTGATTCATACTTACTCCTCATTTTCTGCACTTAAACCGCAGTATTGCTTTAGTACTATTTTTGTGCTATTTTAATATTGAACAATGAATCAGCGTCCATCCCATGAGCATCTGTATATTTTAAAAAATAAACAATAAGCTGTATCTCGTGCTCGATGAGTTGGACAACCAACAAAACACGAGTCGCGCGTCAAAGGTAGTTATGTGTATTTATTAATATATGTATCAATATATACTTATATCAATATATCATAGTATAAAGAAAATTTATATTAACCAGAAAAAGGCTTAGACAGAAGGGTCTATCTTTTTAAATTTAGATTTTTTAATGTAACTATAACAACAAAGACATTTGGATTTCATTTTTCCCTTGAAAAAGTCGGAAGACGAAACGCGTCGGCAAAATCTAAGATTTTTTACCAATTGTCATTGTATACCAATTTGTCTTTTATATATATATATATATATATATATATATATATATATATATATATATATATATATATATATATAAGAAAACGTGAGCAAACTTAATTGACAAAAGGGGAAACAATTCGGACTACGGGAGATATGTAAGGAGGAAAAAATCAGACCAAGACTAAAATAAGAATTTATTGGTAAAATATTCGTTAATAAAAGCTGAACGGTTCGAGATGATTGTAAAACAGAACATTTGTTGTTCGTACATCTAAAAGATAGAGCGAATAAAATACTACTTCTGTTTGTACAGAGTCGGTTGATATAATTTAATACGGACCGCTTCAAGTAAACGTAAATGTCGAGCGGTCTGGGCTCTCGAGAAAATAATGAAAGAACTGCTCACGTAATCTGATGCACAATTCAAATTATTCACCTAGTGTTGGCCGGTAGCTGAGTCATGGACAGACTAGGTCTCTCGCAAACTACGATCGGAAGAACCCTGTTGTATACTAGCAGGGACGTATTGATAAATCCGTGTCTCCAATCGCTAAATGTTTCGTCCTATATAGTCAGCTTCGCACTGATATTTAAATTTGTAGACAATGGAACTATTTTTAAAGGCAAGGCAAACCTTCTTTGACAAAGGGTGGGAGAAGCGGATTTGTCCCAAGAACTTCAGGAACGCGACCATATATATATATATATATATATATATATATATATATATATATATATATATATATATAAAAAGGTAACGAGACCGGTGGTATATGATCCAAGTGGATCCTAGTATTATAAAGTATTAAAAAACTGATCCACAAAAAGAACTCAATGTATTTATTATTACAGGGCAAAAATTAATACACAATAAAATCCAAAATCACCTCATATGGGGAATAAGTTATTTCGACCGACGAAAATATTCGTCAGTCTTATTCAACCCAGGTGTATAGACTGAGTGCGTGTCGGAATTAGAAATTTAACTGTGAACGCTTAAAAAAAACACCCGG